TGACCCAGGCCCAGCGCGCAGAGCAGCGCGACCCCGCACAAGGCCCCGCGCGCGCCCATCGCGCCCCAGGATTTCAGGAGCCCGCGCGCGCCCGGACGCGCCCCGACTCGCCCCGACAGGCCCCGCCCCGGCCACTCCTACAGCGCGGCCTCCGAGCCGAGCCGGGGGTTCCAACGCCAGCGCTGCACATGCCCCCGAAACGTGTGTGGGCGGGGGTGGAAACGCTGCGGACACAACCTGCATCCTTGGCGGCGTCGCCGGCCCAGGCATGAGAAATGTTTCTATGCAAAACCTGCGGCCTTCGGGGTGGGCCTTGGGGTCCCCCAGGCTTGTCCCCTGGGGGCGACCCCTTGAGGGCAGAGCGCTGCAGGGGGCTGCCCCCGGAGGAGCCCCTTTTCTGCCTCCAGCTTTCCCAGGGGTGCCCCACAGCCTTTAAAGATCTCCACGGCTCCAAGGCGTGGAATGAAGTCGCTCACCCTCCGGAAAGTCTGCAGAAACCTTGGCCGGGCTGTGGCCACGCCCAGAGAATCTCAGCCTGGGAGCCCCAGCTCTGAGGAGCCTGGGGACCTGTCTGGGGAATTAGAGTACAGCGTCCCACTGGCCCCGCAGCCTGACCAGGCTCTGGATGCAGCCCCCGCTTCCCCGTGAGCATCCTCCCCTCCCCGTTGCTTAAAGCCCCACCCGGACACTCTTCGCAGCTCCCAGCCCAGGGGGCGCCTCTGTCCTCTGGGCTTGGGAGGGGGCCTGAGGAAGGGCTGGGAGGAAGCTGAGTGTGGCATGTGTTGACCCTGCTCACAAAGGTCTTTTTTTTTTCCAGCCGCTGGCCTGGCCGGTGTGAAAAGCAAACCCCTGATCTTGGTGTTACAAGGATGAGCTCTAAGCAAATGAAGGTCATTATCAACCACCCCCAGCAAGCACCTGCACCCAGGGTAGAGCGGCTGCCTGACCCAGACCTCCCTGACTCTCCCTCTTCTGGAGACATTTTTATTCACTGCTCCATACAAATCCGGACATCCTACAAATGATGCTTATCAGAACACGTCCTGTGTCTGTTGGCCCTTTGGGAAACCAGAGGACACAGGTCATGCACCCGGGAAGAAGAACTTAGTGACACTGGCAGGGGTCACACCCTTCCTTTCCTGTGCACCCTGCTCTGCTGTGGGACCCAGCGAGTGGGTGATTTCTGTAATTTGGCAGTTGAGCAAAAAACGATTTTTGTCTCATCTGTATTTCCAACACCTTACGAGCAGGACGTCATATCTCTGTCTCAGGTGACGTGAGTCATGCGTGTTCACAGCAGAGGAGCTGCAGGGCTGGGGCAGCAGAGGGTAATCCAGACATTATCTAGGAGGGCCATGGGGGTGGAGGGACAGGGCCTGGCAGCCATTCAGTGCACCCAGCAGGCTGGATGAGAGGTGAAGTGGGGGCCCAGGGGAGGGCAGAGCCGGACACCAGGCCTGGAGCTCAGCAGGGCCTGGGCAAACTGGACAGTTTGGAGTTTGCAGCAGAGATGGCATTGGGTGCCAGGTGTGGGGAATGTGCTCAGGGACAGCATATGTAGCAGGGTTGTCCTGGCTGGGGGAGGCACGAGTTGGCCTGAAGTGGGCAGGGGGAATCCAAGGGGTGGAGGGCCGTGCCCAGAGGGAGGAGGTGGTGGGTGTGAGCTGCGAGGTTTGGAGAGGAAGCCACTGGGCTCTACAGGATCTGGCCCCACCTGGCCCTGGCCACCTGCGCCCTCCCCGTGGCCTCTTGGCCCAGCCCCTCCTCCAGGTCCAGCCTTCCCTGCCCATCCTGGGGGCCACCTCCCTGGCGCTGGTTCTTGCCTGCTGCCCACCCCGCAGGCTCACAGGGGCAGGTACTGCCCACTATCTTGTCCATGTGCAAGTCCCCCACGGGAACAAATGTGCGGCAGGAGGCAGTTTGTGGTCAACAGAGAAGGGGGTGGGCAGGGGGAGTCAGAGGTTTGAGGAGAGAAGGGGGAGGAAGCCGCAGCAGAAACAGGAGGTGTCATTCGTGCTTGCCGCCTTCTGTCGGCCACGGTGCCTTTGGCTGCAGGTAACGGCAGGTGCTTATGGTTGGGCACGATGTCCTGGCCGAGCCAGAGGGGGTCACCAGGGCAGAGAAGGCATCTCCCGGCTCTGAGAGACAAGTCCCCGTCAGTGGGACTGGACAGCTGCCTGAGGGACACTCCTCCTTTCAGACCCTGACCCTAGAGGACCCCCATGTGGCCGAGGGCAGCTCTGGGACCCTGGGACCTCAGGGTGGGGTCATTGCCCACTCCTCTTCCTTCAGCACTAATTGGTGCCAGCCGGCGAGCCCGTCTGAACATGCTGCGTTCATCTGTCTGCTCTGCTGTTGGCAACATTTGCATTTCCCACCTTGGGCTTCTTGTATGTGAAGTTGCTGTAGACACTCTTGTCCCCACCCAGGGCCACTTGATTCTGTGGGGCAAGTGCCCAGGACTGAATGGCCGGTCTCAGGGTGGACGAAAGGTCAGCTCAGTCAGAAACCTCCAGTTAGGGCCGGCCCGGTGGCGCACTCGGTAGAGTGCAGCTCTTGGGAGCGTGGCGGCGCTCCCGCCGAGGGTTCGGATCTCATATAGAGACCGGTCCGCTCACTGGCTGAGCGCGGTGTGGGTGCGACACCAAGGGTTGCGATCCCGTTACCGGTCATGAAAAAAGACAAAAAGGAAAAAAAAAAGAAACCTCCAGTTATCCAAAGTGGTTGCCCCTTGGATGCCCCCACTGCAGAGATGCGGGGACTATGGGTCGTCCACCACCAGGGACTCTGGGGTGGCACTTGGGGGGAGGGTCCCGGGGCCGCCGCCCACTCAGGGTAGTAGGGTTGGGGGTCTGGGAGCTGGAGAGAAGGAAGGAGCAGGTAGGTTCTATCTCCAAGGTACACAGAGGCCCCCTTTGGCAACAAGAGCGCTCAGGGCTGTCCCTGCTGTCAGCACCTGGCCAGAGCCCCTCCCTCTGGACTCACTCAACAGGCTTCAGGGCCTGAGTCCCCAGTACATTGATTCTGGCCTTTTCAGTCATCCCGACTCCCACTCAAACTGGAACGCACTGTGTCCACAGACGAGTCTCCAAGAGCCCCCATCCCCCACTCCTACCTTGGCCCAAGACCCCTCCCCAGCCAGCCCCCACCGTGGGTGTGCCGCCCCACCAGCCCACTGTGCCCAACGAGAGATCCAGATTTGCCAGCGTGTTTATTGGGGCGCTGCCCAGGCAGGGAGTATGCACAGCATACGTAGCAGAGCCCAGGAGACAGCCCAGGGGCACCTAAAACGGCGCAGATGGGTGCGGGAGGGCAGTGGGGTGCGGCCTGCACCTGGGGGCACCCTCACTGCCTCATGCAGTCAGCAGACCTCCAGAGCTCCAGCCTGGGGAGGAGGTGCAGCTCCCACCCATGGACACCGCTCAGATCTTCGCCAGGGCGCAGTGCGCATCCGGCTGCTCCTCTTGGATGGGGGTCCGGAAGCTGTTTCCCCCTGGGGAGAACAGGGAGAGGTGAGGTGGGGGGTCTTACCCTTCCAGGAGGTGGTCTAGGCTGCGGCATACAGGGGCACTCACCAGGGGGCTTGGGGATGTGGGTGGGCGGCCTCCAGGCCCTTCGATAGAGGTACAGAGCCAGCAGGGTGGCCAGGGGAGCCAGCAGGCCTAGGCCCAGGCCCAGGCCCAGGGCTGCAGTGAGTGCAGGGCCTGCGGGGAGCAGCCTGCTGAGTGAAGTCCGGGGAGGGGGAGGCCAACGAGGCCAGAGGGCAGCTCCCCCCACTTCTCCCTTCCTCCCCCGCTCCCCAATTTGGGCTTGGGGGGGCCCTGCTGAGGTGAGGCCAGGCCCCCTTACCTCTGGGGGCCTCTGAGGGGGGTATGGAGGGGCCCTGTGAAGTCCTGGGCCTGGTTGTAGTGGGCTGGGCCGTGGCAGGCCTGGTGGAGGGGGCCTGGGTCTCCCAGGGCCGTGTGGCCGGGGGGATCGTGTCCTCACAGACAGCATCAGAGCTGTTGCTGGCGGGTCGCAGGGTGCGTTTCCCAGCCAAGGAGCAGCTGAGGGAGGGGCAGGGCTGCTAGTCAGGCCAGAGACCCCAGGGACAGGGAGCTGTGGGGAGCGAGCGGGGTCTACACGGGGTCACCCCCAGCAGCAACCTCCTCAGACTCCAGACTAAGGCAGCCGAAGATCCCTGCCCAGCCCCCCACCCATCCCCACCCTGCAGGGTCCTCCAAGGCCACGTGCCTGCCCCACCTCCATGACCTCACCTTCCCCGTGCTGCCGGCACCTGGGGCTTCTGAGCTTCCAAAACCCCCAGAACAGAAACCCCATGAGGTTGGCAGCCCCTGCTTGGGATGAGTGAGGGTCCCACGGGTCACATACACTCCCAGGCCTGGACAGAGGTCTCCTAGCCACCACTCCACCCATGAGGAGGAGCTGGCACCATAGCCAGCAGGGCTGGGCAGGAAGCCAGTGGGAGGAGGCTAGGCCTGAGCTGAGCTGGGCAGGGGCCACTGGTTGGGGCAGGGCCCCAGAACTCCCTCTGCCCCCAGCCCCTTAGCCCCCAGCCCTGGGCCCCCATCGGGCTGTGACACTCACTTGGTCCAGGGCTTGCAGGCCTGGTTGCTGCCCAGAGAGAAGTGGCCTGGAGGGCAGGGGGCACAGTCTGCAACAGAGACACAGGGCACTCAGCCACCCGGGCAGGCCCTGGACACTGAGGCTGCTGGAGGTGGGGCCTGTTGGGCTGGGCATTCCCCCCCCATGGTAGATGGCTGGGTGGAGGGGGTTGGCCTTGGAAGCACCTCCCTGCCCACATTCCCCACCCCCTGGCCCTAACCAGGGAGCTGACCTCCAGCCCCAGTCTTTGTGACCTGTTGTGGAAGGGACTCCTGACCCGACTTGGGTGGGAGTGCTGCAGGAGGCCCACTTTTTGAGGGCCGAGCACGTGCACACCCCTTTGAGCTCCCTACCCGCTGCTGTACCCACCCAGGCGGGGCCCACCCTGAGGCTCACCAACTCCACGCTTGTAGCCATCCAGCGGCTGGGTGCCTGGCCTGCAGTGGCAGACAGTGTCCTGTGTGGCCGTGCATGTCTGCTTGGGTTCACTCCCACTTCCTGGTGAGGGGGCCAGGAGTGGAGGTCATCAGGTGGAGGGACAGGGCCCCCAGGAAAGGTGGGTGACTCAAGGGGCGGGTTCGCTTCTCCACAGTACAGGTGCAGAGGGACCACAGATGGGGAGCCCCCTGGCAGCCCTGAGGCCCCTCTGCAGACCCGAGGCCCCTGGTTCTTGCCCTCCCTTCCTGAGATCCTCTCCCTAGACGCTCTGTCCCTCCTGGTTACCTGGCCTCAGGACGGCCCTGCCCAACTCCACCTGCCTTCAGCCCACAGAATCACCTGAGGCAGGACCCTCCGTGGGGAGCCTCATTGTACAGGCCGGCTGGGAAGGCCACGTGGCCAACATGTGTTCCACGCCGACAGCACATGACCCTGGCTGGGCCTCGGCCCACCAGGAGGAGGGAGGGGCCCCACAGTATGCCTTGACTCCTCAAGGGACCCCCAGGACACAGCAAGCCCCACTGTGGTTTGGGGTTTTTGTCTGTAGCTGTGGGGGGCCTGTGCAGCCTCACGCGAACTTGGGCACCACTGACAGCCACCCTCCATGCTGGGCGGGGCAGGGGTCAAGGGTGGGGGCTCACTCTGGTTGCACTGCGTGCACTGCTTGCAGGTCTGGTAGTTGACTGCCTCATTGTAGAAGCCAGGCTCACACGGTTGGCACTCAGTGTCCCGGGTGTGGTCGCAGCGGCTCACCATCCCGCTCCCTGCAGCAGGCCAGGGGTCAGGCAGCAGCCGGGTGCTCCCGTCCTGACAGGCCAGGCCCCTTGCCTGCCCCTCCCGAGCACCAGCCTCCTGCCTGGCTTCTCTGTCTCAGGCCTGGGACTGGGTCCTTGGGGTGTCCCATACCTGCCTCCCCCCATACCAAGGCCATGCCACTCACCTGGCTGGCACTCACGACAGCACCTACCACCATAGGGGTAGGTGTCCCCGACACAGTCCAGCTGGGCTGCGGCGCTGAGCACAAGCCCCAGGAATAGGAGGGCTGAGCAGGGCCCCAGCCGCCAAGCCCCCACGCACATCCTCACCTCTGCCAGCCACAGGGCTCTGGGGTTTTTCCTTGCAGGATGTGGCTATAAGAGCTGTGGGGAGGGGCGGGGAGGGGCGGGAGGAGGAGGGGACCCCGACCCAGGCTGAAGGCAGGAAGGCAGCTTGTCTGCCTCTGACCCCAGGCTTTAGGCTTCTCTTCTGCACGGTGCCCCCAGCCCGCAGCACGAACCCCTCCCTGCCTTGGCATGGCCTGGGAAGTGGAGCTTGTCCAGCTGGGTGCCCCAACTGCCCCTGCCAAGATGCCTGGGCCAGGGTGGTCTTGGGAGCTCCTCCAGGCACTTAACTCTCCCTGCACCGGGTGGACCCCTCGGGAGGAGCTGGGGTTGTGCCTGCCACCCCCAGCAGGTCACATTCATGCCCATCTTCACCAACTCAGCAAAAGGCAAATGAAGACAGGATGCAGGGGCAGGAGGGGACCCTCAGTCTGGACCTTCTAGGGGCAGTGATGCTGTTTGGCACAGAACACAGTCACCCACCAAGTGTCCAAAACTGGCTCGGACCAAGAGATAGACGCCCTGTGACCAGCGCCCACACTGGATATGCATGTACGTATGGGATGTGCACACGTGTGTGTGTGCGTGCACCAGTGTGTGAGCAGCTGAGCAGGGCAGGTGCTGTGTACTGAAGTGCATCCCCCAAAACTCCTATGTGGAAGCCCTAACCCCGAACGTGGCTGTGTTTGGAGATGGGGCATTTTAGGAGGTCACAGAGGTTCAAGGAGGTCATTAGGTGGTTCCTGTTCCAATCTGTGTCCTCTTAGATAAAGGAAGAGTCTGGGGATGACCCAGGGAGGACATGAGGACACAGGGAGAGGCCACCTCCGCAAGCCGGGGGGAGAGGCCTCTGGAGGACTCTCTACACCCCTGCGGGCCCCTTCATCCTGAGCTTCCAGCCTCCAGGGCTATGAGGAAACACGCTTGTCACATGTGCTCGGCGGTGGCAGCCCAGAGCACAGGCCCTGCTGGGTAGGCACTAGCCTTTGCATGTCTCCTGGGTGTGGCGTGTGCCTGTGTCCACGAGCATGCGGGTCCTGTGGTCCTGCCTTGCCTGCGGGACCTATGTGTGCAGCTACTTGTACGAGTGCCTGGGCTGTGCCATGACTATCCTGGCCCGGTTCCAGCCGTGGCCTGGGGCTGGAGGAGGCCTGCGTCCCCTCTGACAGCCAGGCGACCCTGCCTCCCCAGGTGACGGCCAACCTCTGAGGCCACCACTATCTGGGTTTAGGGTATTTCTGCAGGAATAGAAAAGACGGACACAACCCCCAGAGCACTCCCCGCAGCACGGACCTGGGCAGTCCCAGGACCGACTGAGGCAGAGCACGCATGCCAGGCCCCTGGGGCGTGTAAAGGGAGAAAGAACACGCACGTGCACATGCCTGAGCACAAATACACACATGCACAGATGCACGCGCAAGCACAGTCTCTTTCCTTGTACGCAAACACCTCTCTGGCACCACTGGCCGCCCTGAGGAGGCAGCTGGAGAGACCTCATTGTGTCCCTTTTGTACCTTTTAACTGTGACCATGACAAGATCACCTATTCAGAAGTTAATCTTAAAAGCTGCAAGTGGAGAGGGGCCTCCCAGGAGGGAGGAGCGGGGAGGGGGCTGGAAATTCCCCTCCCCCAGGAGCACAGGTAAGAGCTGAGCTCCCCTGGGCCCACCTTTAGGGAAATTCCAAGCCATGGAGGCTTGCGGAGTGCAGGGGAGCTCTGGCCCCCGGCTGCCTGTGCCTGAGGGGCCTCAACACGGTCCCTCTCCCCAGCCTCCAAAGTGCAGAGAGAGGGACCTGGGGGGCTTGGGGCATCCCAGGCAGGGTGTGTGTGAGTGCATGCACCTCGACACAGGCATGCAAAGGATGACACTCTGGCATCTTCTGGAAGGCTTGGCCCAACCTTCACACCCTGTCCCTCACTGAGGAAAACTTATATTTGCCAGGGGGTCTCTTCTGAGGTCCAGGTGGACTCGGGATCTTGGCAGGCAACACTGGGTGCCCTCCTTCCCAGGGCCTGCTCGTCCCCACTACCCATGGCCACCCACAGCTGGACCAGTGGCCCGCGTCCGCCCACAGGTAACCCAGGTGCACCAGTGGGGCCGTGCGTGGCAGTTGCCAGGGAGAGCCTGCCTCGCTGTATCCCCTGAGCTGGATGGGGCCCGGCTCACCGCTCAACACAACGGCATCAAGGGGTGGCCGAGAGCAGCTGACAGAGGCTGCTGCCCCCTGGGTACCAGACTGGGCTTGAGGGGGTGGGCCCTGAGGGAGCCAGCGATCATCCGTGCATCCAGCTCGGCCCAGACTCGGTGGGGGCAGCACTGGGACAGGGAAGTTTAAGGCTGTTGCTACTGTGACCCCCTGACTCAGGCCACAGGTGGGGGAGGGAGAGTCCAGGGGGACAGCAGCTGTGATGGGATGTCCAGCTGCACGGGCTGGGCGGAGACAGGCTGCAGGCTGGCCTCAAGCTGAGTTATACTCCCACAGCCCAGGCGGGCACTGCTCACTGGAGACCTCCCTCCCGCACATGCCCCAGGCTCGGTTCTTGTTTGTCTGGAAACCAGCCCAAGTGCCAACCCGCCTTCGTGGCCTGGCGGGACACCCCCCCGCCCCACGCTGCTCGGAAGTGGGTCTATACAGCAAAAGCCGGGTTACACAGGTAGCTCAGGGCAGGCTGAGGATGGGTGGGAGGAGGTGTGCCCACCAGGAGCCCCCTTGTTCCTGCCTGGACAGCTGGGACACAGACCCCACGTGCCACAGAGCAGGACACACACCAGCCATCCTAGCACACCCCTTTAAACATCCCGCTCAGACTCCAAACTTGACAGCAGGCCTGCTGCCAACTCAGCAAACTCGACACAGCTGTGGGAGCCCCCTGGCCCCATGTAGCCCCCACCCGGGCCGGCCGCCTCATACCTCCTGCCCTGCCCCAGCCGGTGCCTGTCAGATCAGATTCATATGTCAACCAAATGGCCCACCTCAAAAGCTGCCTCTGGAAGCCCTGGCCATAACTGTTCAAATTGTCATTTTTTGTGTGTGTGTTTTTCACCAAAAGGATGAAGCTGAAAGGAAGAGGTGACATCTTCTAAAGTAAATCAACGTGGCTCTCGTCACAGAAATGCCTGCGTTGTCTCAGGGACTGCACACCATATGCTCGGGGACGACCCCACCCCAACGACCCCCGACCCCTCGACCAGGCTCAGCCACCCCCAGGAAGGAGCAGACACCCTCCCCTGAACTTCCTGGCTACTCATTTCCAGCAAAGTACATTTTAATTTTGTCTCGATCTTTCAGTTTTCAAGGAAACAGCGGGAGTGGCGTAATTTCCCACGGTGCCCGAGAAGGGGCCCAGCCCGCACCTCACGCCCTGATGTGGTCAGCGCCTCCGGCAGAACGACTCCAGCAGTTCTCAGAAGCAAGGCGCAGCAGTCTAGGGAACTGCAGGAGAGATGTGGCCAAGCGCCGCAGCTGCAGCCCCGCCAGCCTAGCGCACGTCACACGAGCCCAGCCCAGGACGCACTGCACAGGGATGCGCGGCCCGTTAAAGCACATCTTTAATGCACCCGACTGTGGGCAGCAGGACGGAGAAAGGTTCTAGGACAGCACATGGCAGGGGGACGGGCGGCCGTGCCCGCGGGCGGCTCAGAACTCCTCATGCACATTGCGGGCATAGTCCACCAGCTTGCTGCCCGTGAAGAACTCGCTGTACTTGAGAATCTCCTCGGGCTCCAGGTGGTGGTTCTGGTTCTCGTCGGCAATGGCGATCATCTGCTTGGCCTCGTTGAGGGCGTTGTACTCATTCATGGGGTCCATGTAGTTCTGCAATGGGCACCGGGCACAGTCAGTGGTCAGCAGCCTCCCTCCCACCCCCTTCGGCCTCCTGGGGCCTGCTGGAGTCTGTCTGTCCAAGGGACACTTTGTCCCCATCCCCTCACCAGGCCCCCAACCTGCACCCTGCAAACACGGAGGCCCTCGTGTGGCCTACCCAGCTTGTCCCCCACATTTGGAGACACAGCTGTGAGATAAAAAGGCCCAGGCCTCTACCCGGTGAGACCCCACGTGGACTCCGAGTCAACGTGAGCAGCTTGAGGTCACGCCTCTTCCTCAGGAGAGAAGCCTCAACGCTGTAACGCCCACAGAAGGTGGGTCCTTGTTTAAAACACCCCACTGGCCACAGGACGGGGATGGGGGCACCTTCTGTAATATTTGTGGAGAAACCACAGATGGGAAGGACGTAGGGTAGGGAGAAGCCGGGACCCCAGAGCGCCTGCCGGGGCCTGCAGTGGGGCACAAGCACAGAACCCAGCGGGGGTGAGTTGGGCCCAGGATCCCCAAGCCCGGGTGTGTCCCACCAGGCAATCAGCAAGGGTCAGAAGACTATAGCATAAAACAAAATGACTCATTCAGCAGTGGGAAAGAAACAAGCCCCAAACACACTTGTCACTTGCGACACAGTGACAACACTTCAGAGGAAGGTGGCAGAAGCCAGCCAGGCTCCAGTCCACGGGGCAGAAAGCAACCCCACCTTGACACGCTTTCCCTCCTGGTCCCGTAAAAAAGAGCTGTAAGAACCCAACCCCTCCCGTGGACAGAGCTGCCGTGTGGGGGGCTGGCCTAGAGCAGCTTCTCAGAGCAGGGAGAGGCCAAGCGACCAGGATACAGGGACTAGCACCTTGCTGGGTTTTCCCATCTCCCTCATCTTTCTGAATATAATCACCAGTGATGCCCATGCTGGCCTGATGGACCCTCCCAGGAAAATCCATGCAATCAAACGCTGCGAGGTAAATGACCAAGTGACCAGCCTTGGCCGACACCACGGCCAAGCTGCTGAGTCGGAGCAGGAGGCTTTCCTGGCCCAGGCCCACCTTGCAGGCTCCCCTTCCCATGGCAGCCCTCCCCGGGGCTCAGCCAGAGGCCTCAGGGCCTGGCCCCATCCTCAAGGACACACTGCATCCCCCAGGCCTTCCCCTCACCTCCAGCTCC